GTGATTATGGCTGGTTTACCTGCACGACGCGACGGAACTGAACCAGTCATCCCCTGAGCCTCTCCTGCCTGTGTACCACAGTGGTGAGCCGCACACCACCTTCCTAAGCCTAATATAGACTGTACCGTGTTTTCCTGGGGAAGGGGGGAGGTATTAACTGCACATAGTATCAATAGTATATAATTAAGGTTCACTTTGCTTATTATCATTACCAGATCATTTAGCTAATAAGACTAACTGAATGACTGTTGTGGGGTGACAGCACAGTAGGCAGGGGAGGTGGTGTGTGTACTGTATGTTTTAATACTGACTGGTCCAGGGAGTGTGCCTGCCTGGTGGGGTGGAGGTGATTCCCTTCGATACACATCCCAGACTGCCCTCACCACACCCACCTCACCTCACCACACACTGCCTCTCACTCACACCCACCTCACCTCACCACACTGTCTCTCACTACACCCACTCCCCACCCCACCACACACCGCCTCCTCACTCACACCTGCCTCACCACACACTGCCTCTCACCACACCTGCCCCACCTCACCACACACTGCCTCCACCACACCTGCCCCCACCTCACCACACACCTGCCTCTCCCTACCACACCCCACCCTGCCCCACATCACACTGCCTCTCACCACACCCGCCCCACCCCACCACACACCGCCTCCCCCCACACCCACCCCACCTCACCACACACCGCCTCTCACCACACCTGCCCCCACCTCACACCCTCTCACCACACCTGCCCCACTTCACCACACACCGCCTCCTCACTACACCTGCCTTACCTCACCACACCGCCTCCACCACACCCACCCCACCTCACCACACACTGCCTCCTCACTACACCTACCTCACCTCACATCACACTGCCTCTCACTACACCTGCCCCACCTCACCACACACTGCCCTCACCACACCTGCCCCACCCCACCACACCGCCCCCACCACACCTCCCCACCCCACACACTGCCTCCCCACCACACCTGCCCCACCCCACCACACACCGCCTCACCACACCCACCCCACCTCACCCACCACACACACCGCCCCCACCACACCCACCCCACCCCACCACACACTCACCACACCTGCCCCACCTCACCACACACTGCCTCACTCACACCTGCCTCACCTCACACACACTGCCTCTCACCACCCCTGCCCCACCACAACACACACTGCCTCACTACACCTGCCTCGGCCCCACCCTCACACTGCCTCCTCACCACACCTGCCCCACCCCACCACACACACCGCCCCTCACCACACCCACCTCACCCTCACCCTCACACACCGCCTCCTCACCACACCTACCTCACCCCACCACACCGCCCCACCACACCTGCCCCACCCCACCACACACCGCCCTCACTACCCGCCCCACCTCACCACACACTGCCCTCACCACCCTGCCCTGCCCCACCACACACCGCCTCCCTCACCACACCTGCCTCACCTCACCACACACCGCCTCCACTACACCCACCCCACCTCACATCACACTGCCTCCTCACCACCTGCCCTGGCCTCACCTCACCACACACTGCCTCTCACTACACCTGCCTCACCACCACACACTGCCTCACTACACACCTCCACCTCACCCCACACTGCCTCCACCACACCCACCCCACCCCACCACACACTGCCTCTCACCACACCTGCCCCACCCCATCACACCGTCTCTCACCACACCCACCCCACCTCACCCCACACTGCCTCCACTACACCCACCCCACCCCACCACACCGCCTCACTCACACCTGCCCCACCCCACCACACACCGCCCTCACTACACCTGCCTCACCTCACCACACACCGCCTCTCACTCACACCTGTCCCACCCCACCACACACCGCCCTCACACCCACCCCACCCCACCACACACTGCCACCACCACACCTACCTCACCCCACCACACACTGCCTCCCACACCCACCCCACCTCACCACACCGCCCTTCACCACCCACCCCACCCCACACACCGCCCTCACCACACCTGCCTCACCTCACCACACACCTGCCTCACCACACCTACATCACCACACACTGCCTCCTCACTACACCTGCCTCACCCCCACCACACACTGCCTCTCACTACACCTACCTCACCTCACCACACACTGCCTCTCACTACACCTACCTCACCTCACCACACACTGCCTCTCACAGGTTCCCTCGGTAATATCTACAGAACTTCAACCTATGGTCTGTATATATATCTGCTGTATTATACATACAACTGTGCATATATGTTATAGTCTGTGTGTGTGTGTGTGTGTGTGTGTGTGTGTGTGTGTGTGTGTGTGTGTGTGTGTGTGTGTGTGTGTGTGTGTGTGAGGCTCTCCAATATTGGCTGCTTCAGTAGGTCTCTGGGCATACAGCCTCATGTAGTATGGAAGTCACCTACTTAGCTGCACCTCTTCCTCCTCTCCGGGACGGACGGACGGACGGACAAAAGACCCTACATAAGAAGAGTCGAGAGGGGTGAGAAGGAAAGTGGTGAGGCGCAGCAATAATAATTACACATGCAGCAGTGTGACAATGAGCCCCCCCGGTGTCAGCAGTGGTCTTGTGTAATCTGGGTGTATAGCCCAAACTTCCTTCCCGCCCAGCATTGTCTCACCTCCCAATCCCTACACCTCTCCATCACCGTCTCGCTAAAACACACACACACACACACACACACACACACACACACACACACACACACACACACACACACACACACACACACACACACACACACACACACACACACACACACACACACACACACACACACACACACACACACCAGTATGATAGTCAAATCCTCCAGTTGTCCCCACCTCCTCCGCTGACTCAAGTCCCTCGGAGTTCCTGCCCTGAGCTCCTCAGTGTTACTCAATATTCATACTTCCCAAGCTCACCTATGCCTCCCTACCTGGCCTCCTAAATGCCACACAACGTAAACACCTAGAAAGTGCAAAAGAGGGCATGCAAGATTATTCTCTCCCTTCCTACTCCACATATCAAGAAGCTCTCAACACACTGACCCTCTCGGCTCTCTCTGATCATCACCACGACCTCATCTGCAAATTTGGGGAGAAGCTTCTGGACCATCCTTGACACCAGCTCCTACTTCCACACGAGATCCCTCGTCCGCGAATTGCTGTTCTACACCACAACCGCATCCAGCCCATACGAGCAAGTACTGATCGCTATAAGAACAGCCCAGTTGCATTGCAAAAATTATCAACAACTCATAATCAACCAGTTTATTCACTTCCAGCCAATCATACTCTTTTGCAATGTCACTATGTTGAAATGCTTGTAGTTTAACCTTCTCCCCACCTAGTTATTATATATCATATTTGTATCACGTATGTTTCTTGTATATTATTTGTCAATCATGAGATCCATTCCCCAATTATGTAACTGCATATTTTCAGCCTTCCAGCTGCCATGCTCTTTCAAAAACCGTTAATTATTATTATTATTATTATTATTATTATTATTATTATTATTATTATTATTATTATTATCATCATCTCACACACACTTTTACCTATACACACATATATATATTTTTTTACAACACAGGAATATATACAAACATATATTTTTACTATAACTCATAATTATAGTTGGCGACATTAACTAGTCTTCTATGGTGTGTGTTCACTGTGGAGGAAGTCGTGTAGACTAGTGCAGATGTTAAGAATTCACGTAGTATAATAGGTAAAGGTGCGTGTTACCTCAAACACTTTAGTCGCTTCCTGTCTTGTGTCTCTGTTCTCCTCCTCCATCCACCAAGAGATACAAGACAAGTTTATAATTACATATAACACGTACAATAAAACATGCCTTCATCATCCAGATATTTAGGAGGAGGAATAGCAAGAGTAACACCTAACCAGCATCCACTAATGCGTGAGTTGGGTGGAGCGTGAGTCGGGTAGTGCATGAGTCGGACGGAGCTCCAGTCGGACACAGCTCCAGTCGGACAGAGCGGGAGTCGGACGGAGCACGAGTCGGACGGAGCACGAGTCGGACGGAGCACGAGTCGGACGGAGCACGAGTCGGACGGAGCACGAGTCGGACGGAGCACGAGTCGGACGGAGCACGAGTCGGACGGAGCACGAGTCGGACGGAGCACGAGTCGGACGGAGCACGAGTCGGACGGAGCACGAGTCGGACGGAGCACGAGTCGGCATATGGAGCGGGAGGAAGCAGCTGCCACCACAAAACAGGAGCGTCACTGTTCCTCCCACTGATCTGACTACGCCCACCTCTTCGTATAGTAACTTTAACACCTTGATTACGGTGACGTAACACCTTGATTACGGTGACGTAACACCTTGATTACGGTGACTTAACACCTTGAGCATGGTGATTTAACACCTTGATCACAGTGACTTAACACCGTGATTACGGTGACTTAACACCTTAATTACGGTGATTTAACACCTTGAGTACGGTGATTTAACACCATGATTATGGTGACAACACCTTGAGCATGGTGAATTAACACCTTGATTAAGGTAACTTAACACCTTGATTATGGTGACTTAACACCTTGAGTACGGCACTTAACCACCGTTTGAGTACGATGATCTTAACTTTATTTGCATGATGTTAACCGTCTCAAACACTAGCAAATGGATCAAGTACACAACAGTTGACGTCCAGGACACCTTGCTGAATATTCCTACATTAACTCTGCACCACTCGGGCACCAGATACATTAATGTAATTATGACAACATATCAGTCTCCAGGGTTGTGTGACTCATTCCCTCACTCATAGTTGGTTACATGATTACTATACTGTACACATTAATACTGTAGACAACATGTGTACAGTACACACTGAGACACACCAGGGTGTACTCACACCATACACTGAGACACACCAGGGTATACTCACACCACACACTGAGACACACCAGGGTACACTCACCCTGTGTACAGTACCACTATACTGGGACTCATGAGGGTGGATGTACTCACGTTGTGTTGTAAGCGATTGTTGACGGAGTTGACAGCGATCTCCTCAAACTCAAAGGAGTCCTCGGGTCGGTAGTAGATGTAGTAGAGGTCGACGGTGCCGTACAGCTCCTCAGGGCGGAGCCACTGCAAGTATAGCGTGGCGTCCGCCTGGCAAGTGAGGTTGGAGATGAAGGGAGCGCCGGGGCCCGACACATCTGTCGCCACGAACACTGGCATAGATGACTTACCCTCATGGCGCTGAGTGAACGCCTTCGTCAACCTTGAACTGCGTGTTGGGATCTGTTGATAAAACAACATTAACGTTAGTACAGTTGCACACCCACCCTTTTAACTATAATAAATGTATAATAATAATAACTAGCAGAATCGCTCATCCGCTAGGCCACGGTAGGACGCCACCCTCCGGGAGGCTCCACATTGTCTCACTGTTCAGTCCCCAAAACTTCTTCTTCCATCAATAGTTCATTAACGGTGTATGTAAGTTCCACCATGTTTTTCACTACAACGGTACAGCAAAGTATAATTTTTAGCATTAAACAGTTATTATTTTATTGTCTAATCATCACTACATATAACACCACCCATCATCACTACATATAACATCATCCATCATCACTACATATAACACCATCCATCATCACTATAGTCATGGGTTGCGTTAGGCTTACCCACGCAACCAATTCCAAAGTTTGTTTTAGTAGAGATAAGACACCCGGCGAGGCATAACTGGGACATGTATTTTCCATTAGTGTATGTTAGCCAGCCTTTAGGGGGGGTGGGCAGTGAAACAGTATTGTACTGTTCATCGCTTCACACCCAAAAACCTCATTTTAGGTAGTATCCCGACGACCATGGCATAGTTAAGACGTCGTCTCCATCCTCTCCCTCCTGAAAGGGGACGACCACACCACACAGAGTCCTCCACCGCCACGCCGTCCTGTGGACCGTCGTCGACACGAGACTAAGCGTGTTAACCTAGGTTGTTATCCCCGTGGAAATATCACGTGGATGCCTGGTTGCGACAAGGCATCCAGGCTGGTCTATCAAACCTACAGTAAATGGTTAATCAATTCACGCTTGGCTCTGCACGACACCCGTCTACAGATGCCAAGATCAACACGAGACTAGGTGTGTTAACCTAGGTTTGTTATCCCCGTGGAAATATCAGTGTGGAAGCCCGGTTGCGACAAGGCAATCCAGGCTGGTCTATTGCACCTAAATGGTTAATTCAAGTCACGCTTCCAGTTCTCCTTGCCGCGACAACCGTCTAGTGACTGTCAGTGACGCAAGACTGTGTGTAAACCCAAGAGTACTTTTTTGTTGTTATGGCCGTGGAAGAAGTTCTTGTGCGGAAGTTTGGTTGCAACAAAGGCAATCCAGGCTGACAATAAATGTATCACTTGAAGAATTAAGGCTCTGTTGTTATACCCATAGTAGAGTAATCACATGTGTCCCAAGTTGAAAATTCTCTTTAGAAGATTAATTTTATTCCAGCGTGAACGTGAGTGATTCATATATCCATGCAACTTGTAAATCATTGTATGGAAGCTTGACAAATAAATGTAAGTGCAATTATCTGCCCATATCTGTGATCCTATCTTATTATTACTGAAGGTAGTTGACTGATTGGTTATGACAAAGTATAACCAATAACTTAGATGGATGTTGGAAATTAATGGAACTCATTAAATCTTCATTTATCAAGTATAAATCATGGAATGTCGAGTTGGTTGAGTGAACTTTTACGTAGATACGCCATAATCTTCTGTAAGTAACCAGTGTGAAGGTATCGAACTCTACGGTAAGAAATAAGAAATACGACATATTATTATCTTTATATAATATAATCCACTCCTACTACCACCGATTCACTCCAAAACCATGACACTACATATAACACCATCCATCATCATCACTACATATAACACCATCCATCATCACTACATATAACACCATCCATCATCATCACTACATATAACACCATCCATCATCATCACTACATATAACACCATCCATCATCACTCCAGATCGGTAAAGTAGTTTTCGAGATTCTCGTGCGGACACACACACAAACAAACACACACAAACAGACATACTTCTTTGTTTTATATAGATAGATAGATTGTCTAATCATCACTACATATAACACAACCCATCATCACTACATATAATATCATCCATCATCACTACATATAACACCAGCATCATCACTACATATAACACCAGCATCATCACTACATATAACACCAGCATCATCACTACAGATCGGTAAAGTAGTTTCCGAGATTCTCGTGCGGGCGGGCGGGGGCGGCGGGCGGGGGCGGGCGGGGCGGGCGGGTGGCGGCGCGCACGCACGCACGCACACTTTTTGTTTTATATATAGATAGATAATAATCAGTATTATTTCTGAAGGGCGCTAGTTCCGTCTAAAGGAGAACACTTCACTAGCGCTTAACATACAGTACAGGGTGTTGTTCATAACAGATCTGAAAGATTTGATTCTCTAACATTTAAAAAAATTAATTAATATATTAAGCTAGCATGTAAACGATAGAGCAACTATTAATCGGTTTACTTGATTACTGACTAATTCATTGACAACTTATTTGACTAATATCGTTATTTACCAAGTCGCTGGATTGGTCGTGGTGGACCTGTGCCCTGGTCTACAGTACACGATCACCGGACATTACGCCAGTGGATTTCTTCCTCTGGGATTTTGTTAGAGAAGCTGTGTACAAGACCAAGGTTACCAACATCCATCAACCACTAATCAGAGTGAGAGATGCAACAGCGGTGGTTGATGCTGGCGGGCGTGAACACTTGGCGGAAATTGTACATCGATTGTTTGTTGTTCGGGCGACCAGTGGCGCACATGTTGAAGTGTTTTAAACATGTTTTGAAAAACTTTAATAATTGTTCTATTACTTAAACATGGTTATATCTCAAGTAAAAATTAAAAAAATACAATGGTTCAGATCTTTTATGACCACCCTGAATAAATATTGAGAATATCAAGAAGAAACAATTATTAAACATTATAACAACAGCAACAAGAGTAGACAGCTTCCCCGTTAGGTACAGACTGGACCTTCCTCAACACAGATCAACCCATAATGCACTACAGTAACCGACTCTGCACTGTACCCCACTGTGTACAGTGGCCTCCAGGTGTGTTGTTACCTCCTACCGTGTACACAGTGGCCCAGGTGTGTTGTTACCTCCTACCGTGTACAGTGGCCCAGGTGTTGTTACCTCCTACCGTGTACAGTGGCCTCCAGGTGTGTTAAGCCACCTCCTACCGTGTACAGTGGCTCCAGGTGTGTTGTTACCTCCTACCGTGTACAGTGGCTCCAGGTGTGTTGTTACCTCCTACCGTGTAAGTTCCAGGTGTGTTGTTACCTCCTACTGTGTACAGTGGCCTCCAGGTGTTGTTACCTCCTACCGTGTACAGTGGCCCCAGGTGTGTTGTTACCTCCCACCGTGTACAGTGGCCTCCAGGTGTGGTTACCTCCTACCGTGTACAGTGGCCTCCAGGTGTGTTGTTACCTCCCACCGTGTACAGTGGCCTCCAGGTGTGTTGTTACCTCCTACCGTGTACAGTGGCCTCCAGGTGTGTGTTACCTCCTACCGTGTACAGTGGCCTCCAGGTGTGTTGTTACCTCCACCGTGCAGTGGCCTCCAGGTGTGTTGTTACCTCCACTGTGTACAGTGGCTCCAGGTGTGTTGTTACCTCACCGTACAGTGACCTCCAGGTGTGTTGTTACCTCCCACCGTGTACAGTGGCCTCCAGGTGTGTTGTTTACCCCACTGTACAGTCCCAGGTGTGTAGCCTCCCACTGTGTACAGTGGCCTCCAGGTGTGTTGTTACCTCCTACCGTGTACAGTGGCCTCCAGGTGTGGTTACTCCCACCGTGTACAGTGACCCAGGTGTGTTGTTACCTCCCACGTGTACAGTGGCCTCCAGGTGTGTTGTTACCTCCACCGTACAGTGCCCCAGGTGTGTTGTTACCTCCACTGTGTACAGTGGCCCCGGTGTGTTACTCCCCACCGTGTACAGTGGCCTCCAGGTGTGTTGTTACCCCACCGTGCAGTGACCTCCAGGTGTGTTACCTCCCAGGTACAGTGGCCTCCAGGTGTGTGTTGTTACTCCTCACCGTGCAGTGGCCTCCAGGTGTGTTGTTACTCCCCACGTGTACAGTGGCCTCCAGGTGTGTTGTTACCTCCTACTGTGTACAGTGGCCTCCAGGTGTGTTGTTACCTCCTACCGTGTACAGTGACCTCCAGGTGTGTTGTTACCTCCTACCGTGTACAGTGGCCTCCAGGTGTGTTGTTACCTCCTACCGTGTACAGTGGCCTCCAGGTGTGTTGTTACCTCCTACCGTGTACAGTGGCCTCCAGGTGTTGTTACCTCCACCGTGTACAGTGGCCTCCAGGTGTGTTGTTACCTCCCACCGTGTACAGTGGCCTCCAGGTGTGTTGTTACCTCCTACTGTGCAGTGGCCTCCAGGTGTTGTTACCTCCTACCGTGTACAGTGGCCTCCAGGTGTGTTGTTACCTCACTGTGTACAGTGACCTCCAGGTGTGTTGTTACCTCCTACCGTGTGGCCTCCAGGTGTTGTTACCTCCTACCGTGTACAGTGGCCTCCAGGTGTGTTGTTACCTCCTACCGTGTATAGTGGCCTCCAGGTGTGTTGTTACCTCCTACCGTGTACAGTGGCCTCCAGGTGTGTTGTTACTCCTACCGTGTACAGTGGCCTGTGTGTTACTCCTACCGTACAGTGACCTCCAGGTGTGTTGTTACCTCCTACCGTGTACAGTGGCCTCCAGGTGTGTTGTTACCTCCTACCGTGTACAGTGGCCTCCAGGTGTGTTGTTACCTCCAACGTGTACAGTGGCCTCCAGGTGTGTTGTTACCTCCTACCGTACAGTGGCCTCCAGGTTGTTGTTACCTCCTACCGTGTATAGTGGCCTCCAGGTGTGTTGTTACCTCCTACCGTGTACAGTGGCCTCCAGGTGTGTTGTTACCTCCCACCGTGTATAGTGGCCTCCAGGTGTGTTGTTACCCTACCGTGTACAGTGGCCTCCAGGTGTTGTTACCCTACCGTGTACAGTGGCCTCCAGGTGTGTTGTTACCTCCTACCGTGTACAGTGACCCCCAGGTGTGTTGTTACCTCCTACTGTACAGGGCCTCCAGGTGTGTTGTGTACAGTGGCCTCCAGGTGTGTTGTTGTACCCTATGTACAGTGGCCTCCAGGTGTGTTGTTACCTCCA